GGCAGCCCGTCGCTTGGAGTCACGGCCGCGGCGTGGATCGTGAGTGTCCCTCCACCTAGATTAAACCTGCGCTTCGGAGGCCCCAGCGCCCCCCTACCCGATGTCCGGAGGTTCCCTCAGCCCTTAGAATCCCCGCACCGCTCCCTCCACCCGAAGTGCGTTCACACGTTGCCGAGAGAGCCCGAGATCCCTCCCTTTTGGATTCAGGACACGCAGGCTGGTCCTGCCTGAGACCCTTCTGCCTTCGGGTCGTGCCGACACCTTCTTTTACTTCGTATCCTGCTTACAACCTTGACTGATCTCCCTGCCCGCCCTGTAAATTCCTCTCCCGCGTCGTGGGTCGGCGCTTTCCTGGAACCTCTCCCCTCCTGGCCCCGGAGGCTGCAGGCCAGAAGCGCCACAGGCCGCGCATCCCCCCCTTGTCCTAAGGCGTCATCGCCCCCTCCTGCGCTCACGGGGCCTGGTCTTTCTGCCCCCAGGCCTCCCCTTCGCAGTCACTTCTTTCCCGGCCCCCTCGTTGAGGGAGATGACGGTCCTGTTTCTTTATGTCCTATGTTCTTTTGTCCCAAACCCCTCTCCGCTGGGAAATGATCTGTTCCAACAGGTGGGAATCTTATTCCATCCCCCTCCCTGTAAATGTATGGGGAAGGGGTACCAGGAGATAGACAGAGTTACTGAGAGGAAATAGAAAAACTGAGTAACGAAGAATGAGCGGCGTCATAAACAAATGGCAGAACAGATGGGTGAGGGGTTTGCAGAGAGGCAATAAGGGTGGGGGGTGGGGGGGAAGCCAAAAAAGAAACTGGGAGAAAAGCCACTCGGGAAATTTAGAGAAAAGTCACTCTCCAGAGAGCTGAAAGATAACAAGATAGGGAGAGGGGCTGCAAAGGGGAGCACCTCAGACAGAGAGTGAGGCGAGGGGAGGAATGATTCAGAGCTACAGCAGACAGCAGCCTGGTGCTGGGACAAGAGGGGACAATTGATAATGAGAGCAGAGGGAGAGACACAGCAGGAAGGAAACTACGAATCTGGGGATGCAGAGTTAGGGCCAGGGAGTGTATCAGGGAGAGGGAGTTTATGGGGAGAGCAGAGATGGGGGAGGAAAGAGGCAGAAATGTGTGGAGACTGAAACAATCAAAAACCTGGGGAGAAAGGAACAAGAGATGCAAATTACAAGAATAGCGCAGAACAGGTGGAAGCAAAGAGAGGGAGGAAGGGTATGAAGACCAGGAGAGGAGAGGGGCACAAAATGAGGGGCAGAAGCCCGGACAAAAACACAAGAAAAACAGCTAGAGAGAGAAGGTAGAAATGAGAGATAAGGACAGAGAGAGCGAGGGAAACAGTAATGAAGAAAGAGGGCACCCTGGTCCAGATGAGGGGTGGCATGATTGGATATGGATGAGTACATAGTGCTATGTTGATTTCTGTGTATATAATCTAAGTTTTTCTTTTGGGATCAGGTCTTTCTCTGTGGCCAAGGCTGGAGAGCAGTGATACAGTTGTAGTTCATTGCAGCCTGAAACTCAAACTCAAGCGATCCTTCTGCCCTAGAGGATGGGACTACAGGTGCATGCCATCATGCCTGGCTAACTTTTAACTTTTTTGCAGAGTTGAGATCTTGTCGTGTTGCCCGTGCTGCACTCCTGGCCTCCAGCAATCCCTACCCCCTCCCAAAGCTCTGGGATTACTGGCATGAGCCACCACACCTCGCCCTTATAATCTAATACTTGTATTTTAAATACTTTGGTTTAAATTACTCAGATGCTGGAGTGAATAGCAAAAGTTCTCTTCTGTAAAGCTGGTGCCCTTTATAATTCTCAGTTCTGGAGGGTAAATTCTGTGTTTAATCCTTATTCAGCTGTAGGGAAGTGACTTGACTCATTCGGTTGTAGGTCACCCTCTTCCAGTACCAAAAAACCAAAGGTTTTTCCTCCTCTCTCGATCAGTGCAGCAGTGTACACTCAACACAGCATATTTCACCACAGGTCAGCAAAGTGTATGAGGACTTCTCCCCACTAACAACCCATTTTTCATTAAGCACTGACTAGATGTGCTATAATTTAACTCTATTGTGACGTAAACTGCCTGGAGTTAGCACCAGATTCTACTCGTTGAGGGCTCCCGCTGCAGATGCAAGTCCAAAGTGCCAGGTTCTGAACTTCTCACTAGCTGCTATAAATTGCACTTACCGCTGGCACAGTGGCCCAAGCTTGTAATCCCAGCCCTTTGGGAGGCCAAGGCCAAAGGATTGCCTGAGCCCTGGGATTTGAGTCCAGCCCGGGCAACTTGACAAGACCTCCTCTTTACAGTAAGTCAAAATATTTGCCGGGAATGGTGGCACATGACTGTAGTTCCGGCTACTTAAAAGGTTGAGGTGGAAAGATCGCCTGAGCCCAGCAGGTCAATGTTATGGTGGCCATGAGCATTCCACTGCACTCCAGCCAGGGTGACAGAGTAAGACTCTGGCTCAAAAAAAAAAAATGACACTTTCCTTACCCCCTCCCCTGGTTCTATTGGTTTCACTGAGTGGCTCACAGAATTCAGGGAAACACTACTTAATTTACCCATTTGTAATAAAGTATATTACAAAGGATACAGAATAACTGGTTGTAAGAACTGTCCTAGCAAGTAAGTTGAATCCCAGGATGGGGCGAAGAGAACCACAATATTTAGGAGGTATGTCAGAAGGTGGCAATGACAGCCTATATGTGACGGTGTAGCCTTGTGGGACTGAGCTCTTAACCTGTTTTTGATGTTATCCTGTAGATAGGGTTAGAATTGAGTTAAATGGTAAGACCCCCAGCTGGGCGGTCACTGGAGGCGTGGTCAGGGTGGGAAATACCATACACATGTTTTGGTCACTAGAGGTGAAGTATTCCGTGTTGAGTGTGAGAGTGGTCACAACAGTTTGGGTTTTTCGCATCTCACACAGTGAAGGGAAGAGATGTTTCCAAGCTGTCCACCCTCCTGTCTCAGGGTCTCTGATCTCCATAGGGATTGGGAATGGTCTGTCCCTGATCCTGGCTGTTGCTGACCCTATGATCGTGTCCCATGTGCCAGCCTCCCTTGCAGTCTTAGGACAGTATGGCCTACTTCTTCCATGGCGTCATCAATTTTACATCCAGGGAATATTTGGATCAGCGTACCCAGATGGAGGTATTGTCCATTAAAACAGACAGAAGCGCACACACATCTGCCTTTTTTTTAAAGACATTCTTTCATCTTTAAACAAAAGATCCTCTTCACTACTTTTCTCTCTATAGTAAGTTACCCTCTTCTGTGTTCCAAGCATAATGCTCTAAAAACTTCTTAGGTTTTTTGAATTCTTACCGCCAATTTTTGCTTGAACCCTTGAATTCTTCCTTGAATCAGGCTTTCACATCCAACATCTCGCTGATCCTTTCTTTTTCGGTCCCCAGTGTCCTCCCATTTCTAACTCCAAGATTTAATTTTTTTGTCCTATGAGCTGCATGTGGTAGGTTGACCACATTCTCTGTTATCTTGACTTTGAGCAGATACCATTATTATTTTAAAATTCTTTGTGTTAATTTCCTTGTTGCCTCCTAGTCACTTCCTGCTTTCCTCTTCTGGTGTATCCTGATCTCCCTGTTCTCTGAATGTGGCATGACCCCGGCTTAGTCCTTGAACATTTTCTTGTCTCTGTCTACACCCACTGCCTTTCCTTGTCATCTCATCTCCTGGCTATTAACTGATCTGCATGTCTCCATTTGGCCTGCAGACCTCTCCCCTGAATGCTGGAACCTGTGTCCAGTTGTCCCCTCAACTCTGCTGGGATGTCTAACAGTCCTCTCTCCCTTCACTTGTCCAGGAATGACTTCCTGAACTCCAAACGTGTTCCCTACAGCCCTGCACATCTCAGATGAGGGCCAGCCTGTTCTTCCTAGGCCTTGCTGAAACTGTTCACATGTAGTTAAGACATAGAAGATGTGACATTATTTGTAAATGAGTCCATTTATTTATAAGATAATGGTAAAATGTATGTTTTCTTAAGATGAGTGAATAATTGCATATTTCCAAAACCTTTTTGAAGTATGGGAGAATAATGTTTGGAGCTGTGGTTCCTCCCTGATCTGCTGCCCCAGAACCCCTGTGGCCTCATCTCCTCTTCTGTCCTTCTTCTCACTCTGCTGCAGCCACACGGGCCTCTCCCCTGATCCTGGGGTGGAAGCTGCTCCTGCCTCAGACCCTTCAATTGGGCTGTCCCTCTGCCTAGATCCCTCTGACCCTCAGCTGCAGGTTCAAACTCCCTTCCTTCCCCAGGTCTTTGTTATGATGTCATCTTCCTGGTGGAGGCTTCTGTGCCTTCCCATGTCCCCAGTTGACATTCCAGCCACACCCTCAGCCCCTCTGGTCCATATTGCCTGCTCTGCATGTGTTTTTCCTTTTCCCTTGTCTCTCCTTGTCTAAATCCTGGTGACACAAAGATCACAAGGAGACAGCAGAACCCGAAGGTGGGAGGTGGGCTGGGCCTGCCCCGCTGAGAGGAGCTCAATCCTGGCTTGTCATTAGAGTCCTGAGGTGTTTTGGAGAAATATCTCTTATGCCCTCTTACCAGATACTTTCATTCAAATAGGTTGGGCCCAGCCTTAATGTTCAACGTTGATTCGATTTCTTGTCCAGCATAGAGCAGAAAGGCCCTGTGTCTCCATTTCTGAGGACGGAGGTCATCCTGAGAGGGGTGTGATCCACAGAGTGGTGGGGGGAGTGCTAGACTCTTCAGGGGATTTGATCAGGACCGGGTCTCCGGGAGGGGAGCTCAGTCCAGTCTAGCTCCCGACTGCCGCAGCGAGTGTGTAGGTTCCTCCAGGAGGGGAGCAGGTTCTGAAGAAAGGGGCCTGTCCCTGTGTTCCCTCTGGTGAGGTGGGCGGCAAAGGACTGTCTTTCCACGGGGCAAGGTCTTTGCTGTGTGATTGAGGCACAGGACCGGGACGTGTTGATTGTGAGCAATGGACAGTATGTTTTTGCCATCTAGGGTTGACCTCTAAAGCCTCATGGTGCACGAAGAAGCCCAGAAGCGGAGGAGGAGTCAAGAAAAGCCATCAGGGATGGCTCTCTCTCAGGTAAAGCGACCTTCTCAGTAGATTGTCCTGTCTCCTTCCTGTGTGAAATGTCAGGCGTTGGAGTTGGCCATCCCCTCTAGGTCTGAAACATCCTTACTGTCGTATCTGCTCACATTTTCCCTGTCTTCCCTCATTCCCTCTTTTCTCCACCTAGAATCCATCTCCCCATGACCTAGTGAGGTGAATTTGTGAGGAAATTCCACGGAGCGTGATCCTGGGCAGGGCTCATATGAGATGTGGATGGAGACGGGGTGTGAGCCTTGTGATGTGAGAGCTGCTGGGCAACAGGGTTGTTTTGGGGCCACATCAGCTCTCTAGATCAGGGTTAGAGGATGTGCATGTGGCAGTTATACATCAGTGTGCACAAGGACCTGGTAAATTCTGGAATACGAGACTGAGGCGAATAAATATTTTGAGCCTGATTTGATAATACATTTGAAGCTGAACAAGGCAAGCCTTGTGCTTTTGAGTTCACTCCTAATGCCTGGGAATGGGATGGAAAGTTGAGTCAGGGGCCTCAGTGACATAGGATGTTTCATTCCATCATCTGTTTTAATATGTGAGAGAATATGCCAACCAGCAGGAGATTCATTAAACTATGCTCACAGAATCATACCAAGGGGACACGTGTTCCTTTAGGGACCCTTGTGCAACTTGTGTTTTAGGTGAGGATGATTATAATTTTTCTAGGACCTAGTAGTAGCACTTATTTGCCTTTGAGTGAATAAAACCATAATCTTGTTGTTCCGATTATTGGTAAGCATTTTATTTCTCTTCTTATGAACAAGATATGTTGTATACATTTGTTTTCTAGTAAAAATTCTCTTTCCTTTCCAGTACCCCTCCTCACATTGCATTGGGGAACCACTGTTCTCTGTTCTGTGGGAAAAGTCCAAGAGAGTCCTGTAGCATGTATTTTTACATGATTATAAGGTTTTTGTGAATTTTTGTGAATTTTTGTTTGAGTCGGAGTCTCTCTGTATCTCGCAGGCTGAAATGCGGTGGCACACTTACGGCGTACCATAGCTTGACATGCTGGGCTCAGAAGATCCTTCTGCGTCAGCCTTCTAAGTAGCCGAAGCTACAGGTGTGCACTACAATGCCCGGCTAATTTTTAAATTTTATTGTAGAGATGAGGCCTTACCAAGTTGCACAAGCTGAGCTCAGGGAGTTTCTCGCCACCGCCTCCAGAGTGCTGGGATTTCGGGTCACTGGGCCCAGCCATAGCAAGTGAGTTTGTGTTGCAGTATTTTAACCTGTAAATTTTGAAAATTTACATGTTTCAAAGTTAAGAGACATTGATAGTTCTCTCTTCTATATCCTTGGAGCATTCTCTGAATGAAGACAGGTGGGTCTTTCAGTTTTTTCACTGGTATAAAGAATTCCAGAGCCGGGCTTGGTGGTTCAGCCTGTAATCCCGCGCCTTTGGGATGCTGAGGTGAGTGAATTGCCTGAGCCCACGGGTTCGAGACCCGCCTGGGCAGCGAGACCTCATCTCTATAATAAATAAAAAAATCAGCTGGGCGTGGTAGCGCATGCCTGTAATTCCAGCTACTCGGAAGGCTGTGGCGGAAGGATCGCCGGAGCCCAGCAGGTCGAGGCTGCGGTGGCCTGGAGCGGCCACTGCACTCCAATCTGGGCAACAGAGTGAGAATCCAACTCAAAAAAAAAAAAAAAAGAATTCCACACACAAAAAAAAGAAAAGAAAAGAAAAGTAAAGAATGCCACACTGGTTGCTTCTGAGCATGCAGTCTTCATTCTGGATATCAGAGGCTTCCTCCAGGTTAGACAGTTGAAAGAGTGCTGGTTCTTCTAGGATTGGGCATATCCTGTAGTGATAGATCTGGCAGTATCCCGTCTCTACCCTGAGCTGCCAAGGTGCCATCTGTCACCAACACCACGTGAGATCTCCCACTCATTAAACAAAAGTTATTACCATGTTTCTATTAACAGTTTGAAAATCTGAGAAAAATTGCAACCCTTTGTGTTTCCATTTTATTTCTTAAGTCTCAGCAAGTTTAATTCCTTCATGGAATGGACACATATATAAAAAGATGGATTTTTATACATTGCTTCGTTTTCTGGAAATGTATTTTAGGAGCTGTTTGTATTTATTCTGTGGTTTTTATTCTTTTTTTTTTTCTTTTTTTTGAGTTGGAGTCTCACTCTGTCGCCCAGACTGGAGTGCAGTGGCCACTCCCGGCCACGGCAGCCTCGACCTTCTGGGCTCCGGTGATCCTTCTGCCTCAGCCTTCCAAGTAGCTGGAACTACAGGGGCGTGCCACCATGCCCGGCTAATTTTTTTAATTTTATTGTAGAGATGAGGTCTCGCCAAGTTGCCTAGACGGGTCTCGAACCCGCGGGCTCATGCAATTCACTCACCTCAGCCTCCCAAAGGTGCAGGATTACAGGCTGAGCCACCGAACCCGGCTGGTTTTATTCTTAATATATATGCTCAGTTGTCTCTTTTAGGTTATATAGTTTTTTAGTGTGAAACAGAAATCTTTTCCTTCATGCT